TGTTCGATGTAGGTCGGGTCGCCAGCACTAACTCAGCCTGTATCCTCAGAGAAAAAGACACACACATGAGGACACCGATATTCAAACCGTCTGTGCTGATCAAAACATTCTGTCTACCTGCCTTGACTAATAACCGCTGTGCGGCTGCTCTCAGGGCCCAAGTATGCGACCCAAACCAGAGTGGAACGATTGAGTTCAGTTAGTGGTCGCTGAAATGTCATCAAAGTGCGTCAATATCTTCCGATCTAAGCCAGCAAGAAACCAATCTCTTGGCTAAATGGTTAGGGCATTATAGGTCACAAATTCGAGACTGGGGTGGAGCAACACTTAGGTATGACTGGCTGACGACGGTAAATGAGTCAGAAATGCTTTCCGAGTGTAATTTCCGCAGGCCACCGTCCAGTACAGCATACCAAGATGAATACACTAATGTGTGTATACGTTTTAAATTATCCGCCTTTCGTGTGCACTCATTTACTCGATCGCATGAGCCGGCGCTTATCGAAAAGAATAGGATTGCACCTCCTGGCATGGCTGAGCAAAGGGGAAGAAAGAAGCATAAAGAGAGCCGATCTTGTCCACATTTTTGATTACGCTCATTGTGTGGATCCCCCACGAAGCCTTCCGTGTTATTTATTAAGTCCCTTCAAGCTTTCCAGAGTCCTAGGGTCCCCTACTAGCAACAGCAGAAGGGACAGCGATCAGGTTGAGAAAGCCGGCGCTGTGTGCATAGAAGAATACCCTGCAAGCTGCGCGCCCCACATGGCCCACAGTCGCTAAGCCGTATGCACTCGTCCGCGCTCTCTTGATTTCCCTCCCCCTTTCTCCTAGAATGGCTCTACCAAAACCTCCTCATGTAATCAGTTTTTCTTATCTATACCCCCCCTGTTACCATGACTTACGTGTATGAAAGGACGAAGATATTTTATCTTGTACCCAGTTTCCATATAAAATGTAATGGACCTATGAAAATTTGTGAAAAGCTCGCCAACTTCCCTTCTGGATACTCTGATGGGATTTTTGCAACTTTAATCTATTTTTCTGCCTGAAAGTCTGTAGTAAAAACTGTCCGAGCCTTGAAACGCTCTATTTATTAACCCCTTAGAACGTCCTTGCGGACCTGATGGAAAACCCTTCTACTTTGC